AAGAGGGACAAAGAAGCAAGTGGTGGTTTCTGGCCTCAAACACAAAGGGTCCCTTCAACAATATTGAATAGGGGCCCAAAATATTGCACTTTACAGTTGATGGCCAGACCCAAAACAGTACACAAGTGTGCTCAAAATGCTATGCAAAATAAGACCAAAAAGAGAGCTATAACACAAAGTATAAAAAGGATGCCTCAAACAGTGAAAGACCCTTAATAAAACATGAAGAGGGGAAATAGAATATACAACTGTAAGGAACAGGGTGCAAGGATCATGACCGGCCAACTATCTAGGGTTTAGGTGGCTGGCCGGCTACCTCCCAAAAAGGTTCAATGAGAATTAGTGGCCGGCCACCACAGAAAGAGGGCCTCCCATGTGTGCACAACACAACCCTGTGGTAAAAAACTAGAGATAGTGAACCAGGAGAGAGAACAACCCACTTTTCAAAGGGGTTCAAAAGGGTCAAAAGCAATTACTGGCCGGCCACCAAATATTGGTGGCCTCCCAGATGTGTACATCACAAATACGGGGTTTAGGGTGCAAGAAAATGGCCCAAGGGTGGTCAACATTAGCTTTGAAGTGAGGAAAAACAGGCGATGGAGAGCGATGAAGGGATAAAGCTGGTTGACAGAACAATTACTGGCCTCCCACCCTTCTACGGCCTTCTTACCAATGAAACAGAGGTCCCTGCCAAAAATGAACCCAAACCGATGCGAAACGAAGGTTCGGGGGCCGGAACGTGCAGCTCGAGGCCCCGAAAACTGACTGTTAGGCACCAGGAGTGATGTTCGACCATGAAGTCGATTTCTCGGGCCAAAGTGTCCCTCAAAAGGGAGCAAACAAGATGTATGCCAAAAACTGGAGCAAACGGAGGTGGTTAAGCGGTCCCGAACTGAGGCACACGGCCAGTGGCTCCGAAAGACCGGAAACCGGACTCCAAACGGGCAAAATGGCCTACGACCACGAAACGTAGCCTACGGCCACTGAGAGATGATCTACGAGACCTCTCCCTTCCTTCGGAAAATGAAAATAGAGAAAACAGAGCCTGGTTCGCAAACCGAGGCAAAGCATGAAAGAGTCCGGAGGTCCGAAGGCAAGGCTCGCGGCCAAGACTCTGAAACCTCTGAACGAGCACGATATGCAACATCACCAAGCGCTCAATCGGTGACGTCTGAGTCTTAAGGTCGGTCAAAATGAGGTGTCTACAGCTATAGACCGTCTAATCCGTTTGATTTGTCTGTTATGGTTTTGGAGCTATCAGTGAGTAACAACTCTGTAAAGTTATGTTTGACTTTAAGTATTTTCTGAACAATGTGATCTGATCTGTTTTCTGAAAACCTATTTTGTGAATCATGAATGATTGTTCACTTTTATGAAATGTATTTGTGGCATTCTTAGTATCATGTGATATCTATAATCTGTTCTGTTAACGTCCCATAAAATTATGGGTTATCTATACGTCACATGAGTCATCTATATATGGATCCTTATCAACGTCCCATACAATTATGGGTCATCTGTACTTATCATGAGCCATCTATATATGGGTCCTTATGATCGTCCCATGTAAACATGGGTCATCTATACGTCTCATGTATTCATGAGCCATCGAATTTATTAACGCTAATAAATGTATCACATATAATTATCTATGAGAATCTAATATAAATATGAATCTATTTTTGAACTAAACTTTAATTTCTGAATCTGTTATAGACATCATTCATAAAACCTTTACTCTGTTATTATTTACTGGGTTCTATCTCACTGTATTGTTTATGTATTTAGATGATCTAGCACGTGACCAGGCTTTAGACTTCCAGTCTGGATCGGTTTGTGTTAGCCAACTTGTGCGTCTCCCGAGGAGGTTTCGGAAGTCTTTTTGTGGTCAAATTTTTGTGGACATGTTGTGACCTAGTTAATGAACAAGTGTTAAGTTTATGTTTTTTCTGTATGTAAGGCTGACGTCATATTATATGTAAATGTAAGTTTAAAATTTATTGTCCCGTATAAGTCTGCACAGCTCTATGGGCATTGTATGTTTGGTATTTGCTTTCGCTAGCTTTTTATTTTGTGAATTTAATTCAGAGGTCTTTGGTAATTTTAGGATTACTAGCCGGTTATAATGCTAAATCTAGAGGGGTAGGTTTAGGTCGTGACAGTGGCACAAAGGGCAGACGTTGTTCTCAACCACCTGTCTACGGTGTAGGAGAGTTTTGGTGATAAGTCTACGATGAAGTGTTAACAAAAGGAAGTGGGTGATATGAGGGTTGTAGGTAGCTCCCAAAGCCAATTCTAGTTGGTAAATGGAGGGGACGAGCAAAAAGGTTTTGAGTTGCCAAAACAAATTGGCTAAAATAGTCATTTTAAAGACAAAAAATGCTAAAATAATTAATAAGATAAAATGTCACATGGTAACTAGTGGCAGAGTCAAGATTTTGATTCATGGGGAGCACCATTAATCCTTAGCGATATGTCAATTACAAAACTTAACCAAATCTTATTTTTATTTGGAGATAGAATAACCAAAGATTGGCGTGATGTCAAAATTATGTGCCTTAGATATGTTTTAATTAAACAATGCCTTATTTATTTATTATTTTAGTTACTAAATATGATGATAATATACAATTTAAAAAGTTAACATGCATAAAAAAAATGAAAAATGAAAAAAGAAAATAGATGTGAAGGAAAACAAAAGAGAAATGAGAGAGATAGAAATAATTATAAGAGAATATTTTGATAAAATTAAGCATTTATAATGGTAAATTATAAGTAATTTATTAAAAATAAAGAGAAAAGAAAGATTATAATTTTGAAACATATTTGAACATTAAAAGGGAGTTAAATGATAATAAAAGAAATTCTAATTAGAGGTATAAATGCAATTTTCAAAAAATGAGGGGGGCACAGGCCCCCTAGACCCTATGTAGCTCCGTCCCTGATCGTACCCATTAATCAAACACTTTTTCTCTCACAATCTTCAACTACAAAAAATTCACAAATCATTTCAAACACAACTTTTTTTCATCTTATAAAATACCTAAAAAATTAACTAAAATAGTCATGTTTTCAAACAAGACCAATATTTAAAAAGAATTTTAACCACACCTTATATTTTTATATATATTTTAATTTTGTGCAACTATTATTTTTATCAACAATGATTCATCCCCCTTTTTTCTCCCACCCCCTTTGACCCCCTCTCTCTCTCATTGGTTATATTTTCTTTTTCTTTTTCTTTTTTTTCCTGCTCCTCCAATCACCACCCGCCACGTGGCAAAGGGGGGGTGAGGGGGTGACCCCAAAAGGGGGTCCCAAGCATTATTCTATTTTTATACTCTACAAAATGTTCGTTCTTAGAATTTGTTTGGCATGCCCCTTGGAGCTAAAATAATCATATAAGACAAAATAGGTTATTTTAGCTAAATGTGACAAAATGTCACATCCAACTTATAATTATTTCATTTTTTCTCTCACAAAAGTTTAAAAAAATCAAAAAGCCCATCCCAAATGAGACTTTTTAGGCCCAGGCTAAGGGCTCGTTTGGCAAGTGGCTTTTTTAGTTAAACAGTCAAAAAATCACTAAAAAAATAAAAAAGCCAACAACCTATACCAAAAAATCTAAGGTTGCATTTGGTAGAACTTTGTAATTATGATTTGAGAGTAAGAGTTGTATTTTGAGTTTCTGAGGTTTGGAATTATGAATTGAGTGTGAAAAATTTGTTTGGTGAGAGTTTTGAAAATAGTTTTGAATTGAGTGGAGAATATTTGATGTGACATTTGATATTGATACAAAAACTTACAACTCATAACCGAACATAAAACTCAAAATTATTTTAAAGCACAGAATTTTTTTTAAAAAATTTAAAAAATATTTTTTTCGAATATATAAAATTTAACATATCAATTGCAAAAAAAAAAAAAAAATTTGCACTGTTCCGAAAAAAAAAAAAAAAAATCACTATTCCAGTCAACCGGCAGAACGACCGGTTAGGCCAAATTTTGAAAAAAAAAAATGAAAAACGCGCTCTGTTTGACAGAGTTTTCTGCAGAGTTGTGGAAAATTAATTCCACAATTCTATCCAAACATCAGACTCAAACCATCAAGCAGAAAACTAGTTTGAAAACACAACCAAACAGAGCCTAAGATTCTCTTTTCTCTCTATTTTTTGCACATTTTTTCATAAAAAACTAAAAAGTCATCCCAAACATACTAATTTTTTTTACATCATATTTTAATCAAAAAGTTAAAAAATTATTAAAAAAATTTGTTTCCAAATAAGATTTAAAATAGCTAAAAAATCAACTCACATCTCAAACGAGCCCTTAATTATGGAAATTTGTCATTAGTTAGGGCGATGAATGTAGTACGAGAAGCGGAATGGATACGCACAGAAAATTCATTAATTTGACATTGCATTTTAAAAATTAATTATGAATTAAAGTGGTGAATATTTATATTAGATTGGAAGGACACAAAAAAAGCTATATTATTTTGTATTGAAATTTTGTACAAAAATCTGTTTATATAGCATCACTATATTTTTGTTTTAAAAAAAATGTGTAGATTGATTGCTTCTATTATAATACAGAAATATTACAGATTTAAAAAAAAATTATTCAAAAAAAATGAATAAATGACTTACAAATTATATTTTATTAATTTTAAATTTACATTATATATATTATTTTTAAATAAGATTCAAAATAAATTTTTTCGGTCTATCACAATTTTTTTTTATAATATTCTTGACTTTTCTGGTTCATGCTATATCATGGACAAAAGATTTTGCATCGATGACTAGTCCAGATTCATGTTTGTAAAGGACTGATATGTTTTTGAAGTTGGCAGCTTTTGTAAAATATGTAGAGAGAGAGAGAGAGAGAAAAGTATGCTAAAAATCAACGCAAAACAAAAGACACTTTGTGACGCCCGATGCAGACTCTAATTTGGTAATAAGTAGTTTCAATATATATGGGTGGGTGCTAGTGGTAACAGATGTACTAGCACCAGTCCTACATATACTAATTAGACAATTGAGATCTTTCTCACTTTTGAGCCTATAGACATAACAGAAACCAAGACAATGAGCAAGTCATAGGTTGCCAAACCCTAGTTCCTAACTATAGATACAGTAGTAATATTATGTATTCAAGAAAATATTTAAAAAAATATTGAAAATTTAAATATGAGTAAGACTGGTCTCTCAACCATGCTATTTGGGTATGCAGGACATCATAGATCTTATTTTGATAATTTAATTTAATTATATTTTAAGTTATTGTGTATTAATTATTCATAAAAAAATAAATTGAACCATTAATTATAATCACATTTGTCTTAAAAAAATAAATGATAAATGTTATTTGGAAAGTAAATCGCCTTTTTTTAAGACCAGTATGATAAAATTATGTGATTATAATTTTTAGATCAATTTGATGTTTTTAATAGATGATTTACACAATGACCTAAAAATTGAACAAATCAGATTATCAAAATGAGACTTATAATAGTGTGCCCACATGGCTAGTTAACACGGTTCAGTTACAAGTCTTACTTGTAGATTTAAATTTAATGTGATGTGAGTCACACTTACATTAAATTTGATCCACACAATTTAAATTTTGAACACTTTTCTAGATATTGATAGAAGACATAGAAGAAAATAAGAGAGATGCATGCAATTAGGGTTAGTTGGTGGACGTGGAGGAAGGGATGTGGTTAGATGTGGTGCACTCGTCTTTGAGACTAGTGGCTGTGATGGGGAAGAGTTCTAGGGTTTTGAGGGGTCTATTGCAACAAGGACTTGTTGGACCCTCATGATCCATCATCATCATCCAATCACGACTGTACGTTCTGGTCGTTGACTTGTCCGCTTCGCACCTTTCTGCTGGATGATGATAATCCACGTTCCATGAGTGACTCACCATTGGCCTGGATACATCCTCAACTCCACCCTAACCCAAAACACCATTGTAGAATCAGGAAAGCTACTAATAAAATGGTTTACTTGAATTGAAACAAAAATAATATATGTTTCAAAGCTTATATTTGTATTTTTATTTTTATTTTGTGTTACTAGTTGAACAAATGCTTTGAGTTACTAATTTTTCGTTTTTTTCAAGAAAGTTAAACAGTCAATTAAAATAATCTGAAATATTTTTACCATAATATATAAAGAACAACAAACATGCAATTAGGATTATACAAAGTAAATTAATCAAAGAGTACCTGAGGAAGAAACCAAACAGGGGTTGTTGTACAGTTGGGAAATTGAGGAAGAAAGTGATTTTGTTGAAACTGTTGTTGTTGTTGTTGAATCATGAGTTGCCTACTGAGCTTCCTTCTAAGCTTCTGTCTATCTCTTGCCTTGTGGTTCTGAAACCAATAAAACACATTCTTACCTTCAATCTTCCCATAGTAAGACAGGTGGGCTGTGATCTGCTGTATCTGAGTTGCGTTTGGTGTCCTTAACCCTCCTCTATACATCTCCTCCAAGATCATGAGCTGTTCTGGTGTTGGACACCACCTTGATGAACCTGTTGGAGACATTTCTTTTCACTTGTTTTAGTTTCCTAGTGTTTGTGTGAGAAAGATTTGAGAGCTTCAAAGAGGGTACAAATAGATGGATGGACGAGAGAGAGAAAGAGAGAGAGAGAGGAGCAGCTTTTCCAGTGTGTGAGATAGTGAGAGGAGAGAGACAAAAGAGATGGAGAGAGAGAAGCAAAAAGGAGAGGTTAAAAGAGAGAAAAGGACTTGTGCTGGTTGTTGCATCATGCTGATGTTTCTCTTCAGAGAGGCATTCAGTGAAGGTTTCAGTCCACGCACACACGCAGAGAGAGAGAGAGAGAGAGAGAGAGAGGAGAGAATCTGTGTGAAAGAGAGAGTGAAGACTTTTTGGTTGGGTGGCTTTGAATGATTCTGTCATCATCACCTTATTATTATTTACTTCACCATCCCCATGATACATTTGACACAAAGGCCATGTTTGGTGTTATTTTTTTTAACAGCAGTGATACATACTATTAATTTAATAGTACTAATGTTAATTTTAATGAGTTAATAGTATAAGAAAAAAAATAAAGGCCAAACTATCACATTAAGATAAAATCCACAACAATATTACCTTATTAGGTTCCGTTTGAGAAGATAAGTTGTGGGTTTTTTTGGCTATTTTAGTCATAAAAGACAAAATAAGTTATTTTAGTCACAACAAACACAATATCACATCTAACCCATAATCATTGCATTCTTCTCTCACAAAAAATTCAAAAAGCCAAAAAATCCTTCCCATACCAAACTTTTTAGCCCAAATTAAAATAGCTAAAAAAATAAAAAAGCTAAAAAATCAACCCACTTCCCAAACCAACCCTTAGTGCATCCTTATAATTGCTACTTTAGTAATCCAAACATTATTCTTTTTTTAAAAATTTTGTTATGTGTATTCTTACAACTTGAGAAGAATTTTTAAATATTATATATTTTTTCATTATACTCACATTCATGTGAAATATATGATTTTATTAAGATTTTGACATATGTTTTATTTTTCAAACTGAAAATTAATAATTAAAAAGTATAAATTAAACTTTTATTTTCTTAATTTTTAAATAATCAACTTACTTAAATTTATATTTCATAAGTTATAAATAAAAATTGGGCAAATTACAAACACCTCCCTCGAGATTTGGTGAAAATACAAATTCCCTCCTGAGGTTTGAGAAATTACATCCTGCCCTCTGGTGTTTATATTTTCATAACAAATTACCACTGAAATTTTTATTTTCATACAGATTCTCCCTTTAATTTTTCCTAATTTGTTATGAAAATTTGACATTCAGGAGGCAATTTGTAATTTCTCAAACTTCAAGGGGAAATCTTTATTTTTACCAAACCTCAAGGGGGTGTTTATAATTTGCCCATAAAAATTATACTAAACACTAAACATAAATTCTAATAAAAATATATAAATAAAGTTCTAAGCAATTTTAACAAGCTGCACCAAATAGTGATAAAATAAGTTAGATGATACTATTTATTCTTTTGTTTATTATGTTATGAATAGTAAAACTAATCAATTTATATTTCATAAGTTATAAAAAAAAAAATTATACCACATACTAAACACAAATTCAAATAAAAATAAATAAATAAAGTTCTAAGCAATTTTAACAAGATGCACCAAATAGTGATAAAATAAGTTAGATGATACTATTTATTCTTTTGTTTATTAAGTTATGAATAGTAAAACCAATCATAGAAATAAACACGCAATATATATTGTTAGGACCCTTTGTTGTCAAAATCCATGGATCAAAATCAAGATTGTTACAGGTTTCAGTTTTCCAGTTTTTCAAATTTTGGTCTCCCCGCTCGAGCGGGGAAAGATACGCTCGAGCGGGGATTGGAAGCTCTCAGCATCTCTGCAGTCGCCTGAAAAAATACTGGATGGTGTGATTCGACGCTCGAGCGTCAAAACCGACGCTCGAGCGTGGAGCCTGTATGAAATCGCAGAATTTGAAGTCTCTGCTTGAGCGGGATGACCCACGCTCGAGCGGACCGCGCGATCCCAGATTCTATATATTCGCTTGTTGGGTCTGTTTTAGGTTTATTTTTCCTAAATCTTATTCAAGAGTCCTAGGGTTTTGTTTGAGGTGTACTTCTGAAGTTTTGGTGAGTTTTCCTTGATGTTTTGAGAAGACTTTTTCACTCATGATCTAAAATACATACATCAAGGAGTTGGTTACTTTAAATTCAAGAGAGAGTTCTCTTCAGTGGATTCCGAAGAGTCAAGCGTATAGTTTCAAAAGGCGTTTGATCTTATACGTAGTCGTTAATTCGACAAGTGAGGTTGTGGAATCAACTTCAGGATTGATCAGTTCCGAGAAGAAGTCGTGGAGAAAGAGTTACAGAAGATTCGAAGACAAATTGACTAAGTTGGGTAATTTGTATGTTATCTTTGTAATCTTTTTTACTTCAGTAGTGAATTGATTAGTGGTGTTTCGCCCGTAGTTTTTTAATCACAGTTGGAGGTGTCCAATAGTGGTTTTTTCCACGTTAAAATTGTTTGTGTCGATTTATTATTTATTCTGAAAAACAAACAATCTAAATCACTTTCGTAAGTGCTTGTTGATTTAGATTGTGTGTTTTAGATTTTTGGGATTTGGAATATTTGAATCTTGATCTAATCACAAATCACTTAGGATTTTCATATATATATATATATGAATAATCAAAATTTTACAATATGAAAAATAATATGCAAGTTCATTTTTTAAACCCACTTTCTAAACCCAAAAATGTGTGAGCGAGATAATTAATTAATAATTAAAAAAGATATAACAGAAAAAGTTGTCACACCATTGAATTTAAAAATAAGTCTAATTTTGAGTTTAAGTAGAATCACCCTTATAATATTTGTTAATGGGTCTTAAAAAATAAAAGAAAAAAGAAAAAAGGAAAAAAAGAAGGAAAAACTACACATCAAGATACTTTTAAAAAAAAAATTCAAATCAATAGAAAATTATATACATATTAATATTTTTTTTTATTAATTTGTAAATATTTTATAAAAACTTTGCCTATGTATAATTTCCCTTAAAAAAATAAAAAGTATATATTCATATATATTTTGTGTGTAGTTCTATCTATTTTTGTGATTTTTTTTTTCAAAAAATTTTTAGGGGATATCTCTCTCTAAGCCTTCTGCTGGGTGTGCCACCAGGGGTGGAAAGGGGTTCTAACCGCCGACCTCCTCTCTCCTCTATCCACTTCATTTTTATTCTTTTCTTTATCCTTTTACTTAATAATATTAGAAACTTGTCCTTCTAACCCTTTTCCACACCGCCGTCATCACACCACCATTAAATCTCCATGAATCCACCCTCACTAGATCTGCCTTATCTCTTTCAGATCTACTTCTGGCTACTGGTGTTGGCGTCGCCTCTCCCTCTTTCTAATCTACCGAATTTGATATTTGGCTTGTACTCAAACTTTTAACCTCGCGTCCAAAACATTAAGATCTGGTTTCAGATCTTCTCCCAATTCAAAGATTGATACTGTTTAACGCATTCGTTTTACGCTAGGCGACCAGCTCAACCTCAATATTCCATCTTGACCAGAGGATATGGGGTCTTCAGATTTCAAGTTAAAGATTGCGGTGTAATGGAGCTTTGGATGCATTTAGTGACTTGGATCTGATTGCTTTCAGTTTTTTTATTATTATTATTATTTGCTATAATAATTATCTCTATGTAGAGGTTTTGTCCTTTCTTTGTGAGGATTTTTTTCCCCTCCTTTATGAATGCTAGGGTTTTTCCTCCTATGAAAAATTGTTATCTCTTTATAAGAAATTACTACCCTTATATAAGATTGATCCGATTTTATCAATTTTACATTAAAGATTTTTTTTCACATTAAAAAAATAATAATAAATAAAAAGGGGTACCTGATACATGCAGAGATTGAATACACCTGTGCTTGAAGGTGCAGAGTGGTAGGATGGACCACCACTCTAAGCCAATAACATTAATTTATAGATATGGCTTGTTCACGTGGAAAAACAATAGCGTCGGACAGATGATAAGTCTCATCTCAGCTCATCTATAGAGAGAGAGTACTATCTACGTAAGTAATAAACCACTTTATTAGTACAACCAATTTAACTATAGTTATTTATTTATTTATTTTGGTAGATGGATTACAAATAGGCAGAATTACAGATTAGTAGAGATTAGAAATTTTATTTATAAAAAGTAATAAATATTATAAATATTAATAATTAAAATAATTTTTTTTACACTCCACTTATCTGTAATTCTCCCTTACAAAACCTAAGGTGGGTGAGAAAATCAATACATAATATATTGAGGGCTCATTTAAGAATTAATTATTTTAGTGATTTTTTAATTTTTAACTAAAAAAAAAGAAAGAGTGATATCATAATTTGTAATATTTTGTAGCTAAAATCCATAATTGTCAAATGAGCTTTGAGTTAAAATCTTAATTTCGTAATAAATATATGTAAGAACAACTATAATTAACTGATTACACGTTGATTAAATAACATGATGATCATAATTTTAAAGATAAATCTGACAACATTATTTGTTTTGTGGGGACATATTTTTAGGTAGTCCGCGTGGCCGAGATTGTTAGCTGAGGTGCCACGTGGGCGGACTATGGTGTCAAGATATGGTGCGATAATACCGGAATTCGAGATATTTAGATAGAAGACTAGATGACATCAAGCTACCTATTTGGATAGAGATGGGACTCTTGAGAGAGTTCATCTTAATCTGAATAGTGTGAGTTGTGATAAATGTTATCTTTTTAAAGGATAGAATCTCATGAAGTAAGACTTCTAGGAGAAGTTGGACACTGACCACTATAAAAGAGAGGCACCCCTATGGATTTAAGGTATGATTTTTATGTTCTGTCTAGTGAGTTAAGTACTATTAGTTATCTTTGAGAGATATTTGATTACTGACTTGAGCGTCGGAGTGCCCTCGGGTGGACGAACCACCGCCGGATTCTTATCTTTCTGTGACAGGTTGTTCGGACTTAATTTATTCTGTCGGTGCTCTCCAGCTGAGTTCCCACTTTGGTTGTGTGATCGGAAATTAGCACCCACAATTTGGCGCCGTTTGTGAGAACTTAGTAAGGATAGATGGCCAACAACGAACAAGAAGTGAGGATTGGAGACGACATCCACAGTAAGGAGGAG